GGCCTGGGCCACCCGAGGGGCTCAGCCCCGGCCGTGCTCTCCCGAGGCAGTAACCCCCCCAGGTCACACGTGGGGATTTCGTAGCGATGGGCATTTCTCCCTCCATAATTTTCCACGTCTCCTCATTAACACGAACCAAGGCCCCAGCGCAGGATGAAAGCGAAACTTCCCCGGCCGGTCCGCTCCGCATGGCAGGGGCCTTATTTCCTTCGCATTTTACAGGAGCAAAAGTTCAAATATAGTTTACATACCAGTGCGAGAGACTAAGGTGTCTAGTCTTCGCTAACTTACTCCAGCCTAACTTTAACTAGAAAATACTCCGTGGGTTTATTTTTCCCATTTCCCCCGAACCAGACGTATCTCTGCTCCCAAACACCTTCTCCCGTGTTCACAAACCTCTCCTTGCATTTCTCCCTGAAAGTGCAGTCCAAACCCAGCAGATTAGGTGATGGGCAAAGTTGTGATCCTGCTTGGAAATCTCACTAGCTGTACGACTAGACAGACGATTTAAGACCATTTGTGCAATTTTACTAACCTTCCTGGTTTAACATCCTCAGCAATGGAAGGAGAACTGTGGTTTATCGGGACTGAGTTTAGGCAGCCCTTTAAAAAAAAATTTCTAGATATGCGTGCGTGCGTGTGTGTGTGTGTGTGTGTATTCTTGTCTATCACTGCGCATACACGCTTGCGAATACACTGCATGTATTTATTTTTAAAGTAGACAATAATGAGAAATGCCCTCTTAAGAGTTTTGCAACAGAAAAAATATCAGCTACTTTACATGCGCATCAGATCCGATTCAAACGGCTCCTCTGAGGGGGAGAAATGCACTCCTGCCCTTCCCTTAGTTAAATGCAATTGCCACCGTGTAGGTGTATTTTTTTAGTAGTGCAGAGGTGGAAAGTAAAGGCAGTCACCAGCCCCAGCCTCCCGAGTTTGGGGAAACAGATTCAGGACCCAGGTCTCCGAAGATAAAGGCATCTCGAGTAGTTTTTTTTATTTTTGCCCTCTAGTTGCCGATGATTTTATTAGATGGGGGAAGTAAGGAGCTTTTTTGTTTTGTTTTGTTTTACGGGTTGTTTTTTTTCTGTAAGGGACCCCCCTGTGCAAGGAACTGGGGAAAGTTCGTGACCACTCAGTGTTTTTGTAGGAAAACTAAGACTCACGACACGACGACTCCTGCAGCTTCCTGCCCTAGGAGGGACAAAAGCTACAAATGCAGCGCCGCAGAGCTCCCCTCATTTTTCACTCCAGACTGTGTTGTTTAAAAGCCACCCACTCCCTAGATTAAAGGAGACACAAGCCCCGCTGAACTCAACATGGCCTGCTTCAGTTATTAGCAAAAAGAATTTCCTCTCCAGTTAAATACTGTAGGATTTGCATAAACTATATTAAGAGAGATTTCTATATTAAGCAGACCTGCCCTCGAACCATCGGAGGCAAATGAACTTTTAGCCGAGCTTTCCGAGGCAGAAACCGGTATCTAGGAGTTACATGCTGGGTTGTAGAGCCACTCTACAATGCCCGCTTCCCACGTTGTGCTGCTAAAACTGATAATGAAGCGGGAGTAAGGTTAAACTGCTCCCTACCAAACCCAAACTAGTGTTGAAAAATCACAGAAGCAGAAAAGAACTCAAAGCCTGGTTTGTTTGTTTTTTTTTTTTTACGGTAATTTCCAGAGTGCTTGCTGAAACTGAACTTTTTCAGGATCAGCATTAACAGCGTTTTTCTGCCTTTAGAACAAAAATCATAACGGAGCCTTTGGCATTCTGTGCCCATTTCCAGTCTGCTCGGCTTTGCTTTCTCATCCCATAGCATTCGCGACGAAAAAGAAAGCGCAGAACGGGAGGGAGGTCTTTTTTTCTTAGATTTAATTGTAGAAAGCCCCTTCCTTGGACCCTCTCTCGCACACGCCGTGCGTTCGCAGGTGTGGGTGTCTGTGTGCACGTGTGTACCTGCGGCAGGCGAACGGGGGATCTAACCGGGGGAGTGCAATAGATACGGGAGGGGAGCGGTGCCCAGCGCAGATTAAGGGAGTTCTCGTTACTGAAACGATAACTTCTATCTGACACAATGAGAGTGTCACTCTTTCTCACCTTGCGGAGAGCGCTGCCTGTTTCTGATCATGACATAAAATACTCACTGAAGTCTGGGCGTTCTCGGAAGGCTGAGCTCCCTGCTGCATGTGCTGTAGATGTCACTGCTGTCTGATTGTGCTTGAATTAACACACTGTTTTGACTTCTGGAAAATGCCTAAAGGACAATGCAAAAAGCTTTTGTGAATTTGTTTTTAAAGAAAGAAATCCGGTTTCTTCGTGTTTCCATTTAGAAGGCAGAGAGTGTGTGAACTGTGGAGCAACTGCCACCCCTCTCTGGAGAAGAGACGGCACCGGGCATTACCTGTGTAACGCCTGCGGGCTCTACCACAAAATGAACGGTCAAAACCGACCTCTCATTAAACCTAAACGAAGGCTGGTAGGTGTCTCTGTTTCTCCTGGGTTTGGGGGTGAATTAGGGCAAAGGGACCACCCGCAGGCACAAGGCAAACGTGTCCCCTGCGGGCTCAGCCCCGCGGAGCCGCGCGGTGCTGGGGTCAGTCACGGCGGGGT